CTAAACTGTTTGATGATTCTGTGATCAATCCTTGGGTTTTGGTAATGAACAAGAGAGATGCTCAGTCTACAGCCTGGTGTTTGTCAGTAGACAACTTTGATTTTGAAAATCCAAACCAAACCAAAAAAGCCATCACCAAAAAAGCCCAAAAACAACAACAAAGAACAAACTGAAAAATGACATTTCAGTTCTGGATTAGTTAGAAAACTCAATTGTATTTTCTAGACCAAATGAAACATAACTGTGTAAAAGGATGGAGCTTCTCCTAACAGTTAAAAACTAAACAGGCTTTGTTTTACTCAAGATACCTGCCTAGAAGTCTGCCTAGTTACATAATATTTTAGTTAAAAGAAAACACAAAACAAGAAAAACTTGCCAAGTTGACATATGTCTAGAAATTAAATTCTCCAAAAATAGTATCAAGAAGATTTCAAAATCGTTTTGAAGAAAATAAATCTACTAGCAAGTCTACTTTACATCGTCTTTTAATTAAAACTGGCCATTACTTGTGCAAAATCTACACACCACAAAAAACATCAGAGACTAAACAAATTTTGCATTTCTAAGGTTGCTGTTGGGATCATCATATCTAGGCAACTGTCATTTATAAACCAACAAACCCTTTCCTGTGTAGGTGTAGGCTAACACAACACTAGCTACAAATGGTTTCTAACCAATTTGAATCAGCAATGGAAATTTCACTGAGAAATACTGAATATTGCAATTTATCAAGTGATCAAAGGTTATAGCCTCAACAATTTCTTTTGGTAGTTCAGACTTGGCTTCTCCTTGCTTTACGTGGCATTGAGTGTACCAGGCTGGGCAGCACTAAACTAGGTGTTGTGCAAGAAAAAAACAACAAAACAACAAAACTACAGATCTCACAAGAGGAGCCAAGTGATACCAAGCAATTACAAGGCAAAACATAAAATAAATAACACTCTGTAACAAAAACAGGAGATAGCTCACACAGTCTGAACCTAATCCTTTGGTCAAGAAAGCAACTGTGAGACTCCTGTAATAATTCTTTGCATAATGAAAAAGTATCAGAGCGTCATCATAAGAGGAAAAACTCTGAAGCTCATCACAATTGCTGTATACCTATTTAAACCTGTGTTGAGAGTTACATGCTTTGAGAAGTTTACAAACAAGTATTCAGGCAACTGAAGTACCAGATAACCAAACAAGAGTGCTTAGTAACAGAAGCAGAGACCCACAATAGCTGCTGTCTACGTGTAAATAAAAGTTTTGTTTTGAGACAAAAGCAGAATACATTGCTCGATTCTGCAGCTCTTATGCTAAACAAGCAACAAAATTGGGTTAGAGTTACCCACTCCATGTTTTTGCTCGGTTTGGGGGGGGTTTGTTTTGCCTGCCTTTTTTTTTTCCTTTTAAATTAAAGGACTGACTTGTTTTACAGCATACTCATATTTCTCAGAGCAGCACAGCCCAGCATCCATTTTGAAACAGCTTCAGGTTGAATTAAAAGACCTTTGAAAAAACCAAAAAAACAAAACCAGAAAAACACACACTATACACCACAGCTACATTCCATTAAGTACGAGTGCAAGAATTTTTGTCTAGTGGGAAATTCTACTTTAAAACAAATAATAATAAAAATCTTCAAAGCCAGATTGAACGCCAGCTGGCAGCACAGACTCGGGCAATCACATCTCTTTTTGTGCCTTTCCTTTCCCTGTGAGCAAAGCCAACATGGACAACATTTATTTTGCCCTTCACTAGGACTGTGAGAACCGGTATAAAAAAATGAAAGTTTCAGTCCGTGGATATCATCACTGCGTTATTCACAGCTCAGAACTGTTAGCTCCCATCATTTCATTTATCCATTCAAAATTAGAGATGGCGGTTAAGATGACTTAGTTTTTAAACACTGACATTTTTACCCAACCATCTCACCTTTTTTAAATGCCATCTAGTAAAGAATTTCAAAGGGCTCTGCTTCTTTAATGAGGCATTAAAATACAGTCATACGACAAAAAAGCAACTCTACTAAGTCTCTTAAACCCCTGGACTTACATTATCAGCTTTTATGTGCCTGTCAACACTCAACAGTAAGAAGCAATGGTTTGCTCTTTGCCTCGAATTTAAAAGCCAGCTAAACTTCCTCCCACTTTTCCTGCTGAGAGCTTTAACTCCTTGCAAACTGTCAAAGCTTTGACACTTCAGCAGCAGATAAATCTACGCCACGATGCAAGGGCCAGGTGGAGCCTGAGTCAGGCACTGGCCACTAATTTACCACTGGTCATTTCATTCACCTCGAAAAGCAATAAACTCAAAATACTTCCCCCGCCGCACCCCACGCCATCCACGCTCTGCTTGTGGATCAGCCCTTTCAAATAGATGCTAGCTCTGTCACAGAACTAGGTATGGTTACCTTGCAAGTTGAAAGAAATGCAACAATTAAAATTGTAGAGGTATCAACTTATGGCTAAAATGCAAAGGCATTTCCAGTCCAGAAGCTAAAGTAAGAGCGCATCATTCTTCAAGAAAAGTAAGTGCAAGATACTTAATAAATAAAATTATAAATAAAATACTGGAACTTCTATACCCAGAACATTTCTCTAAATATCCACAGCCTGGATGTGGCATTCAGATGCAAAGCCCATTATGAATTTGTTTTACAAATGTGTCAACATAAGTGCACCTGGAGAAGAAGAAGATTTGGACGATTTACTTAGTAGAAAATGTGAAGTTTACAGCTGGGAAGCCCAATATTCTGTTTGGTATAAGCTAAAATATTTATACCTTTATCTCAGTACATGGAAAAACAATGACTGCACAGATAAGCCATGCTGTTTCTTTACAATAATAAAATGAGATACAGACTCATAATGGGAGCCTTGAGATACGACACTTAACAGCAGTATAATGAAAAACGATCCTTTCCCTTTTCCTCTGTTCCTTTCACACTGTAATTCCACAGTGTACAAACCCCCTATTTAAGTCTCCTAACCTTGATAAGGACTTGATCCCACTTTCATTCAAGTCAATGGAAAAAGATCTCATAATTAACCTCAAAGACACATGACTGAGGCATTGCATGGCAAAGTTACAGGACAGTATTGTAATAATTTATTCATTAAAATATTAGGGGTTTTTTCATAATGGGGGGGAAAAAGCTTTTATTCTTATGAAAGAAAATAGAAACTATCTTTGCCTGAAGGTCAACCATTTCTGCTGAGAACGCACAACACTGAGACAGCTCTCACATCTTCCCCACTCCAGGCATTTGCTGGGGTGGTAGCCACAAGGTACTAAACAGAAGTTACAAATGCATTTATGCTTTCAAAGGGGGAGAAGAAGGAATTAAAAAAAAGCTATCTGAGGTTCTGCCGATGTTGGCACATCTCCTTGTTCAAATACCTTAAATACAGCCTGGCACAGGAGTTTCTCTCATCGCTAGAAGGACTTCAATGGCTTGAAATGCCAAACAAATCCCTTGACTCACTGTGTTGAACCCCAAGGGAAGCATTTGCCAGCAGGAAAAAAGCGAAGAAGAATGCCAAGCGTTAAAAAGTTAAGTCGGACTGATTCAGAACTGGGATCAAACGACCACGGTTCTTCCGAGATCATTAACGAGCGCTCCGAGCAACCGGGGGCTCTGACGCAGACAAGAACCTGCACATCACAGGCATTCCAGGAACCCTGCTTTGTCTGCGCTGGAACAAAACCTCGTCAAAATATGCGTGCCCTCCTGATTTAAAAGCATGCCGCCTCTCGTTGCCTCTGTCCATACACATGCACAAGGCTGTTAGGCACAAAATACTTCCACAAGGTTATAATCAGCAGAACTTTTTCCTGAAATTCTTTCAAATCTTTTAGCATCTGCACTGATTTTTAAAAAGCTGTCCTAACAAGTAACATTATACACAAAAAGCACACCTTTCAGAGATTCAGTAGACAACTAAAATAATGAAAAACCAAAATAGACACAAGAAGAGACAGCAAGTCTTCTCACCAGCCAAAACTTCAAATACAGATTTTTGGAGATGGGGGAAGGAATACAAAGATGCTTCAAGCAATGGTTACAGGATATCTTGTCAGTTCAAATGGAAAGGAAAGGGCTTTTTTTAACTAAGCATAAAACCTGTGTGAGGAATACTAGCAAAAGACAAAGGAAACATGAACTGTACATTCTGAAAAGACAAAACGTCAGTGTCATCCAACTTGCCTTTTATTTAAAACTGCTTAACAACCAATTAATAAAACTTGAGACATATGGACAACCGTGCTCAAATCTAGCAGATTAGAAATAGCAATTTTATCCAGTGTAGTTACTCAGGGCAAAAATACCCCATAATTTTTGAAGTGTGGCTCAACGTTTGACGTTAATAAAAATTGTTAATGTATTAATCCTTTTTTGGACAGAATGGCCCTTGTCATTAGACAGGTGGCAGACAGTCCTGCAGATGTTCTGTGGTATCTAGAAATAAACAGTCCCAAAAATCACATCTTCATCTGATCTGAGTATTTCTCTTGCTGTCTATGCAAACACCACACCTCCAATACACAGCTGACTTTTCTGTGGGGGTAATAATGGATTTATTACTGTAAAATGTCACAGAAAAGTTCTAGGCCTTAAAAGGAAGCAAGCCTGAAATATAGCCAATTTAAACAAAAAATAATCCAGGGTAATTTCAGACTCAACATTCATCCAAGTCTTCCAGCAACTTTCTTGCTGTTTTACAATCACTTCCTATAGCCACCTTTCACTGATGTTCTGAAGGCCTGCACAAGCATGCTGAGGAAGAGAAAAGGAGAAGTGACCAATGCTCCAGAGAAAACCGTGAAGATGACCATGACCTTGACTTCATATTGTACACGTGTAAATGACTAAAAAAAATCAGCCAGAAAGTTGTTTGGCACTAGTGTAGTTTTATGATCAATCACTGTGTTTCCTACAGTAACAGAAGGTGAAATAGAGTTTAGCACTAGTAGCAATTTTTAAATTAAGAGTGTACATTTAAGAACAGTCTTACCAAAAGTAACTTCTCCTTTGCCAGTCTTGTCAAACAGCTGAAAGGCTACAATGAACAACGCATCTGGTGCACACAGGACTGATTCAAACGCCACAAACTCTTGAAAGGATATCAACCTAAGGAATGAAGGAAAAAGCAAGAGCTATGAAACTACTTGCTTGCAGAAAACTGAAATACAATATAAGATAAATTATACAAAAGTAATAAGATCACTACCAAAATATGTACAAAATGTTATCACTAGGGATTACAATTTATCCTAAAATGCCCTATCACCAACGCTGTCAGGAGGTCTTTATACCGCTAGATGGAAATGGCTTTGTTGAACAAGGAACTATTCCTCTCAGCAAGTCACAACAGAACATAAATAAGTGAAGCGTTCAGCATGGCTACTCACCTCAGCTTTAATGTCTTAACTGAACTGCCCTTTGGGGAAGCCTACCTCCTCCACTGGCAAGACAGAGAGCCAATAAAGATATGAGTAACTCCCCTCAAGACTCAGTACTTAAGGCCTTTGGAAAGCAAATCTATTCAAGCCCTACATGCTGCCACTCACTTCAGAAGGAACCGATCAGAATGTGTTATCTGTTTGCTTGCACTTCTCAGTCATCCTTCACAGCCCTCCAGTCCTGCGTGTCGAGTCACAGATTTTCAAGCAGTAGTCGGCCCAAGAGCAGTTTATTCAAATTCATCATTACAGCCAGGTTCCCAACACATGAGCACAGTAGCAGAGCACAGATAAAAGCAGAGGTGCCCTTCCTCAAGTCGGTTAAAGAGCAGAAATATGTAATTAAGACAACTTAACATTGTTTCCAGCAGTAGATCTGATGCAGCAAAGACCCTGAGCAGTTCTAATTTCTCGGGGTCTCACCCAATAGTTTAAATGGAGATCAAATCCCTACTCTTAAAGGGGCAACGGCCAACCATTCTTCAGTTTTGCTACTTCTCTAATGTCTAGGTTGTACAGTTTTACATCACCTTCACATGCGTGGCTGCAGGGCCTGCTGGCAGTCTGGGAAGTTTAAGATTGCCCTCTCTTGGGGCTGCTTTATGTCAGTGTAGTAAGCACGTAGCTTTAATGGGTTCACACAGCAGTAGTCGGGGAGAAGCTACTGCTTATTTCTGAGAAGCACAGAATATAGTGTAACAAACGCCAAGAAACACACACAAAAACATTTTTCTTTTTTTTTAATTAAAAACTAACTGTATCCTCAGAACTTCTACTCAAAATGACACTGCAATCAGTTCAATGAAAACTTCCACTTGATATGCAGCAGCAGTGAAGAACAAAGGGTTTCAAGAGGTTGGAAAAGCTCTTTGTTCCATCAAGTTATGATGACCCATGACTATATAGCAATTTCCAGTCACCCTGTCTTAAAGGAATTAATTTCAAGTCACACAGAAGTGTGCGTGCTGCATGCCAGCAGCCAAACATCCACAAGGTAACAGAAACTGATTTCCTTGAAGAACATGAAAACACAAGAAGATGAACAAATGAAGAGATTAAAGAAAAGCATGGTACAGGAAAAGCCAAAAAGCTGTTCTACTTTACCTCCTTCAATATATATGCACTAAATAAAAGTAAAATAAAAGCATATGTAGAGTCAGAAATAGTCTGGCAAATAATAAGCTCTGGGAACTTGCCATCATAGGTTATTATGCAGTGTGAAAAATAAATAAAAAGAAACCTCCTCAGGTATTCTTAACATTAAACTCACAACAGATGATGCCAGTAAACACATAAGCATGCCTTAAGCTTTACTGGCAAAGAAGCCAATGACTTGCTACAGATACACACGGTAGCATGTGGGCAGGCCATCAAGTCATGTATTTTAAACTCCTTGGGAGCTCTCAGTACTCCCCTCTGTTAGACACAGAATACAGAGATACTCAGTCTTTAAATGGAAGAAAACTTCAATCTATCCTCAGTCAAAATATTTTTTTTTAAAATGCAACATTTCCTTCAATTCTAAACCAATATATCACAACCTACTTCATTTTCAATTTATGCACATTTATTGTTACTACGTGACTTACAGGTTATAAAAGCTCATCACTATCCATTATTATTGGTTACACACCTGACAACTTCCACAACAGCAAACAGACACAAAGCACTGAATTCTTCTGTCCTAAAGATTATAAAGCCCACACACAGAAAGAACAAAACAGACAGCAGACAACAGGACTCTAGAATAGGATTGTTAAGAATAAAAAATGTAAAATATCTAGCAACCCCATTTTGATAAAGCCACTTTTTGTGTGAAACTACACCCAGGTTATGTCCTTGCCAACAGATCCCAACACAAATAGCGATAAGACCACAGAGAAGAAATACAGCACCTAACCCAGCAGAATCCCAGCACCACGCTAAGAGGATGTTCTATGCTATTAGGGCTGGATTTGATTAAAACTCCATGTATTAACACCGCTACAAGATTTTATACTGATATAGGCATTCTTTGTCAGTACTTGCAAGTAATAAACCCTCCTAATAAGTCAGAGATAGATCCTTAAAATAACCCCATATCCATTTTTAAAAACAATTATCCCTAGTACTGGGAAGATTAAAAGTGTACAAATTGTGTGGTTCTAGCCAGACTATTTAAAGAAGAGACATTAATATGTGCTGTGCCAGCTGAATTCAAATTAACCCAATTTTTACATGTTAATTAAACCAGCTATTTTCTTCTTATTGTATTTTTGCTCCCTAAGCAGACTAGCCTGCTAGTGATTCCCAACAGATCTATTCTAACAACAATGACGTATTCATTTACTTCTATTATGACCATACAATACAGTAACTGAGCAGTAATTTTTCACAGTCAATTACACGTGTGATTCTTAATGCTTAAAGATGCTGAAATAATGTGTACTACATAGCCATATGCTCACTTCTCTATACTGCACAAGGGTAGTTGCCTGGGTAACACATTTTCTCTCTGGTTTAGCATCACCCTTTTGGGTTTAGCATAACCCTTCACTGAATATCATTAGGTGTCATTAAACAGCACATATTAACATGGACTTCAATATACTACTTAAGAGTTATTTTATCTACCTAAACAAGTGCTCATTTATTTTACAAAAGCAGAGAAACGCCTGGTGATTTTAACAGTGCAAAGAGAAGAAGCTGAAAAGTTTACAGAATTTTCCTTCGATCTTGAAGATTTCCTACCCAAGTGGTCAAAATCTTCCTTCACCTTCATGTCCTCATTAATGGTGCCAGTGTTCCACAATTTAATTCAGGAAGGCTGAAATCTTGATATTTTAAAAACCACCCACGCAGAAGAGTTACAGTCCAAACACAACAACCATGTGTGGTGCTGCAAGTCCACTATTTACTACTTTCTCCTTTTTTCCATGCTGCTTCTTTTGATGCTGATGCCCATGGCACCTGGCGCCACACAGACATGACGCATTCCCACCAGAGAAAGTCTGCACGTAGCTATGCGAAGTAAAAAAAGCTATTGCCCACAGTAATAATACATACAAATGCAATGATGAAGAGGTTTCTTCAGAAATCAATGCATGTTTTTACTGTATCAGCAATTTAAACATGGTAACATAATGGGACACAAATTGAAGCTACATCTATTATTTTACGCTGCAGCCTAGGTAAACTAAGTATAGTGTAAATTGGTGCATTAGAGGATAAATTTATATCCAATAATAATGGAAAATGCTGGCATTTCCAAGTGTTATTTTTGAATAGTTTGTCCTTTCTAAAAATAAAGCATACAGTATTTCTCAGTAACGTGTTAGTTACTACAGTCCAAACAGAGATGTGCAGTAAATACTTATTTTGTTAGACATGTTTAAAAGTACAACAAAAGACTGAAAAACAATATGTCACAGCAGGCAGGATGCAAAATGCCTAGCCTGCTGCTGATAAGCCTTGATTAAGTCCCTGTATTTTGTGGGAGTTTCTGATCCAACTGAAGTCAAATGAAGCTTTTTTTTTTCAACTAAAATTAGGAATGAGAAGCTTACAGCTGTTTCATACAGCCTACAGCCACATGTTAAAACACTTTTAAAAAAATCTGTGTTATTACTGACTCACTACTTAGAAGGGCTTCTCTGGCCATCAGCAAGAAAAGCATTTCCTTTTCTTAAAGAAAACCTTAAAAAGATGCCTCAGTAAGAGAACAGAAAGAAAACCTACCTCCAAATATCCTTATGCCCTGACTTCAGATGGAGACAAAACTTGCTCCCATGGCAACAGATATTCACTGAACTCCAGAGTGTGCCTTAAGAGGTCTTGTACCTTGGTAACACCACCAGCAGCTCCTGTAGATGCCACTGAATCCTTAATTCCTGGCAATGCAGGAACTGTGCTAGTGCTACAGGGAGATTTTGTCCACAGCAGCAATAGTGGGATTTTACGTAAAAGTTACTGTTCTTTACACTTCACGCTAAGGACTTCCCCAGTTCTGAGGCAAGCACCTCTCTGCCCACCTATCTGATCTGTTCATGAGTCCGAAGCTCTTGTGCTGTCCTTTCACCCACATGACGTACTCATTTTAGTATTTCTCTCTGATTACACTTGGTAACTGTACTTAACTTCTCACCAAAATCAGAGGGAATTAAAAAGCATTTATAAAAGTGCTAGGAACAACCCTGGAGATTCTGGGCACAGATCCTTTTGGTGAGGAGTGGTCATGCTCACCAGTCATGAAGAACAGATGCTTCTTCAGAGAAAATCACGTCGGAGAGTTGATAAACACTTCTAGAAATAACCTACCAGTGTTTTCAGAACCGCACTACTTTAAGCCACTAACACTATAACAAAATTAACTTGTCATTGCTGTTGCAAGCTACCTTCTATTTTATACTAGAAATAAGTAGACTCTCATGACCTTAACATGTCTAAGTCCCTAAACACTGACCAGCCTATTAAAAATGATTACTAACAAAAGCAGTTCTGTACTTCACTTTAAACCTAGGAGCTCTGGACTGCCAAGTTGGAGAGAATTCAACAGGAGAAGACCAGTAGGTCCTACTGCCATCCCCACGAGATTTCATTCCAGGAACTGAAAAGGAAGTGACACTTCCTTCACACAACCACTCTGCAGATCACTTTATAGACCACTAGAGCAAAGTACAAATGCCTGGCCACATGGAAAAAGAATGCTACAATGTTAGGTTAGAAATGAGTGCTAATCAATTTCTGAACTTTCTCCATCCTTTCAGATATTAGTATAGCAGCTAAACACGAGGATAGCCTGAATAACAGAAAAGACCCTCCAAAGACATTAGGAACTGTCACTGCATAGTCTGGGCACAGAAACAGTCCTCACCCACAGCAGAAAGCAGCAAATAGAAGCCTCAATGCTGCACCACAAAACTCCTGAAAGACTCTGCCAAATTGTGAAATCCCAACTTGTCAACAAGTTCACATAGGCTGCAGTTTTACATTTTGCTCTTCCTGACACCAGCTTCTGTTTGTGAGAGAGATCCAAATCACAAGGTATGGATTATACTCTCAATCTTCTTATTATAAAATGGATTTGAAGCCATGCAATTTGGAAAGTGACATTTTTGCAGGCATCAAACCAAGGGAAGAAATGTGAGAAATGTTTAACATTTTCAGTCAAGCACTATCTGAAGTCACCACTTTCTTCCTGCCACTATGTCAACGTTACCAATGTAACCTTGTACAGAATTCTTTTACTGGGGTAACAACCATCACATTAACTCCTCTGCAAGGTTTAAGGTGCCCTGCTGCCAGAAACATGGGGCTGTCTGAGCAGAAAAGAGAGCACAGAAACTTTCACAAGCTCACAGTTATGCATGCATCTGTTCCCTAGGAAGCCTGCATTCTCTAGTCATGCTTTATTTATCTTACATTTTACTCTCTGCAACCACTGATATGAGTCATGCCTGAAGTTTTCTGGTTTCTAAAAATGCCACAACTACAGACTTTAAGTCCATAGCTAATTATTCTAAAGTTTCTCTAAAGATACTTTAAAGGCAGGGTTGAAAAAATGTATTCATATGGGTGAAGAGACAGCTTGCCTGGGCAAGTACCAAAAGCAAAAGCTAGGATTTCATTAAAGAAGGGGGGAGGAAGATGGAGGGGTAGCTAATCTTGCCTATTGGCAAAGTCAGCCTTTCAAATGCAAACCATGTGCAACCAACTTCACTGCTGTCTTCCCAAGACTGCAAAGTGGCTCCCTAAATACCTTAGTTGCTCCTCCTCCCTCTCAAGGGAAAAAACAGTAGCAAAAACCTTTAAAAGCACTACAGCAAAACAACGTAGGGACACTTTTTCCTATGATCTCTTCCTACACCATCTAAACTTATTTTGGATTGCTATTTGAATGTGTTTGTGACAGATACCTAAAGTAAACAGAGACAGACAGACTCGTGGAAGTAAAGAAAAGCAAGACTTAGGGGAGTCAGCCAACAGACATGAAAGGTTCAATAAATAAAAAATACATAGTAGACAGAAAATGGTTTGCTCAGCTAAATGTTACATGCAGCCCAAGTACTCTTTCCAATTCAAAGATACTGTATTTCTTTATGTATCTGCAGGCAAAAAAAAAAAAAAAAAGAAAAAGGAAAAAACCCAACCCAAATCAAACCAAAACCCCATCACCCTTCAGGGATCAGATTGTTTTGGAAGAATGGTATTGTGTTTTTTAAACGAACAACAAAAAAAGACTTACCCATCTTTTGTCTGATCCACCACACCTGCAAGGAGCTGTACAGTGTTTGCATTAGGCAAACCATCTCCAATTATCTTCAGATACCGCGTGACAAAGTCATCAGGAGACATGAAGAATTCGCCATTCTTCTCCACACTTGCATACTGTTAAACGAACACAGTATTTAGTGCCTCAAATACATCCTTCTCCAGGCATTTATTACCACCACACATAGTTTCCAATTGGGAGCAGGCTTATGTGACAGCACATGACAGTTCTGCTCGGAGAAACCTACAGCCTCCTGCCAAACAGGAAGGAGTAAGTGGGGAGCACTCAGGCAACTGAAGGCTTGGTTTCCCCAGCAGAAGAGTGGCAGATACAGTTTCATGTATCCTGTCAACAACTCCTCCATGATAAGTCTAGAAATGCTCCAGCACCAAATGTTTTTTTGAAGTAGAGTAAGAAGCACACATGCATTTGGAAACACGTATGTGGCACCTCAGGCCCACTGAAATTCTGATAGCAACAGGATATGCCTACAAATTTATTTATCTGAAAGGACCTCTCTGTGTAGCAATTTTACTTTGGGATGAGAATGTAGGTTTACACTGAAGAAATGACATTGCAGTGCAAGTGGAGTCCCACAGGAGTGTCCATCTGGGGGTGCTGTTTTGGAGCACCACATGACCTTCATCTATGCCTGGTCCCCTGCTAAAGGAGAACCTACAGATACTCCTCCTTGGCTGAACTGCTGAAAGGAGGACAGAGAACAGCATTTGCAGAAAAATTAACAGAAAGCAAGAATTTCGACAGTTCAGCACACTGCAGAAACAAGGGAAGAGGCCCGACACCTTACCAAGCACTGCTGACATATGTCACTCCTGCTTTATACCATAGTTACTGGCATTCTACTCCAGAAAACAGTTACTGAGAGACCCAAGCATACTTGCTCCCAAAGGGAAGACTCTAGTGACATGTTTCTTAGCAAGGAAAAGGAATATTACGATATTTTGATGCTAATACATAAATAAGTAAAACTGCCTTTGTTACCACCCCTTGTCCCGATTCCTCAGTCGCCCCTCAAAGTTTAAAGCCCTCATTTTCCGTAGAAGGGTAAATTTGGAATCAACCCTAAAAATGCTTTTTAACAAAATAAAAAGGATAAAGACAATCATTAAGAGGAAAATAAATCCCAGGCAACACTTGCAGAACCATGTATTAGCTTTAAGGGAAACAGGTCTGTCCTGGGATACCAAATGTGCACCAGGAACAGGAAAGCAACTGTTAATTTCTTATTTTTTTAAAGGCAAGGTAGGATGATAAACCATTGTTGTGACTCCTCACAGAGCATTATCCACACTGAAGTAATAAATAAATCAGATGCCTATTGCTATTTTGTAGCGTACTTCCATGACAAATGTTTTGCTTTACGTGGCTATGGCTCTGCTCTGTTAAGGAAAGGAAACTGCCAGTTTTCATTTCACAGAGCCGCACTGGAGCCTGCAGAGTACTGTTATACCTGCTGTAGGCATATAACTCTCAGAGGGATGCCAAAGTGTAACATTAAGTAATTATTTTCTTCTAGTGCTATATAAATACAGTCTTCAGGTACAGCAATATCTTCAAGAAACAAGGCTTCAGAGAAGCAAGCCCAAACAAAACATAACTTGCTTTGGCATCTACATGTTGGTTAGCATTTAAGGGTTCCTGTTTCAGTAGACACTGTTTGTAACACAAGTTTTCTAGCTGATACACTGCAAGGAATTTTGAACTATATACTTTTATAGGAACTAGCAGATCAATTGATTTCAATGTAATTTATTTGCAGGGAGACAGAATCTTTCAGAATCCCAGCCTCAGAAACTTTTAACACAGCTGCTATAGAGAAACAAATCAAGTAAGTCAGACAGCCTATGCTTCTGTATTTCATTTTTTTCATCCAGGCTAACCCCCTGCTAGGGCACTCAATAACACAAAACAGCACAAGGTTTCAGTGTCCCCCTGTTTCTTGTCATTGTGATTTACTCAAGTGTATTTGAAATCCAATCACGTACTCTATACTACATATAGAAAATGACCTTGGAAAATGTCAGCTTGATCACTTTGACTAAAATCTAATCTCTTAGGGGCTATGGTAGAAGACTAAGAAAAAGTAGAGTTACTTCTGGAAATTATCATAACAAAAAGAAAAAAACATTGGTTTTGGAGGAGAGACATTTAAAAAAATGGTTCTTTACAACTGTATTTTTCCCCACTTTGGCAATTATACCCACAGAGAATTTGATATTATACAATAGTACTTAATGGCTTTTTGGTAACTTATTTCCATACATCTTAGATAGTCAAGTATTAACCAGTTCAATTCCATTCAAAAATAAGATTTGCAAACATTACAGGGGGTTTGATGTATTAAATATGCTTAAAGTTTACTGATTAATCAACTGAATTTAAACTGATAGCTTCATATTTATTTCTGCACAGTGGGTAGGTACCATTCCTACCTGGCAATCATATTTTTTAATTCTTAATTTAAGTAGGAAGAATGGCTGTCAAATTACTTTATAACTGAAGTTACCACAATCTGCAGAAGCAACTACCTTGGCTTTGCCACTTACTATGTCTGAAGCAGCTTTAAATAACACTCCGGACATCGCTTATATGTAGAGCATGGAAGAACATACCACATTCACTCATCCTTTTTTCTTCTCAGGAGTAAGCACCACAACAAATTCTGTATTACACTGAATAAAATATTCAGCTTATATTTCATTACTCCACTTTACTGAGACCCCTTCTTTAGAGTGGAAGGGGAAGCAGAAAAGGAACAAAAAGGAGGTGCAGGTGCTATTTACTGTGCTCACGACCCATTCAATCCACCAAAACTGAAAGCTGAGGGAGTGACAACCTTCAGAAACAGAGTAGAGGTGAACACCCACAGGCAGGTAGGAGACAATTTTCACACTATTCTCAGCAAACCTACCAGCCAACCCCACCATCACCACAACAGAGCATCGCCTCATATTTTGGAACGGACCAGGCATCTTGCTACTGTGTTCACTCCCATACTCAATGCTACCATTTTCTCCAGTCAGCAGCCTACTCCCTGTCTGCCTTTACTGCTGCCTTGCTCCTAACTCTTCCAAGCATTTACCACTGAAAATCGCATTATCCCATTCTTTTACAAAAGTCTTTTTTGCTCTCCTGACAGATAAAAGTTCCAGGACTTAATAAGTTAAACAGTGGCTTTCTCAACTGACAATCTGACTTCAGAGCTATAAATACTGACAGTATATGATAAAACTATAAATACTGGCATTATACATAGAGACACCTACACATTTTGTTAATAATAGCTCACAAGGGACAATGGAAAACATGCCAAGAAGTGCACAGAGAGTGGGGCCTGACACTGGAGAAAGGGAAGGTGGAGGGAGGAACTTGGAAAGGTATGAGCTCTCTTAGGCACTCAACACCTTCAGAAAAATAATTCAGATACAACAGCTCCCTGAAGCACTGTGACACCTACCTCATATATATTCTCCACATCCATCAATTTCTGTACTCTTTTTTCATACCAGACTACCAAACTAATACAGACACTACTAATAAATCTTAGGAAGGTTAGGAATAGTTATTTAAATTTAGGAAATGGGTCAAAGAAAGCTAAGTTCCAGCAAAACACTAAAGCACACATCTTAAATATAGAAGCAAGTACACAAGTCATTTCTTTACTTGTATACTTCTGGAGCAGATCAATGCAGAAGGAATTTTAGTTAAGTAATAAATACGACCACAACTTCCCAAGATGATCTTTCCAACACTTCTACAACTTAGAGCAGCAGAGATAACCCTGAAGGAAGGAAGGAGACAAGGATGGGAGAAGAGTTTACCAAATGGTCTAACAGCACGGTGTCTACACGAACATTTCACCATGTGTAGGAACAATATTGAAACTCCCACCACATTCGCCGAACAATGCTTTTTTTTTTTTTAAGATAGTAATACTTCTTCTGAGTCAATACAATAATCACTCAGGAATGTATCTGACTTCTTGGTGAGCATTGTTCAATTCTGATAATGGTATTTAAGTCTAACATGGTAATAATACAGTGAATGATTAATGGTTGGGAAAACTATCAAGAGTTGTATGCTGCAATAAAGGAGCAAAAGATATGAAAAATTTAAGCAGAAAGAGTAAAATATTTACTTTATACGTACCTTCAAAAATATTGTTTTCAACTCAGCTGGATCAGCTCTCTTGGTTAGAGCCACCTACAAGTAAATACAATTACATTAATATGCATAATTTATACAAAAGATGTCAAAATGTCATTAAAAGGAAGAATTCAGACAACAGAACTAGTGATGAAAATAAAAGCTCACCTTAGATAAATTAGGTACAGCTTTAGCTGGCCATGCTTATTTTATTCATTTCACATTTACACTTAGTTATTCAACATTTTGTTGTAACTGCTTAAATACACCAGAGTATTTTAAGAAAAGTGAATGAATGACATTTCTTATAAAATTTTACAAGTTTTTTTAAAAGGGAAAAACCACACCTGAAGCTATGCTAGGACTCAACTGACAGAGCCCACAGCTGGAGTCCCAATTCTGTGTTTGCACAGAAATCCACGTGGAGGCAGTTGCAAAAAATCAAAGTCTAATTGTGAAGTTGGGAATCTAAAAATGTGTCATTTCTGAAGTACAAGCTGTCCTAAATGTAATCACTGTGTAGTAAGCAGAGATTCATTTTAACCCCATTTGTAAAAATTTGGTACTCTAGAGCAACTGGGAACTTTGTGGAAGGAAAAAAAAACCCAATTCTATACCGCTGCAATGCAGAATCTTGCCAATATACAGCAAACAAAAGATACTTCAAACATCTGTAGCCATTAAAAATATAATCGGTATCACACTCAATCTCACTTTAAGTTTAAATTTTATACTGTCCCAGAAATCTAACCGAAATGAACAAAGGAAAAGGGTACAAGCCGACAGCTGAGCTTACATTCATTTTCCTTTGGTTTCACTGACATTTTTTTTTTGTAACTTGGGAGACAAAATATTTTCGCAGCTCAGCTGCCATTTTTCAGCCCCCTTTTGATTATGGGGGCAAGGATTTTGCTGGGTTTTTTTACAGCCAGTTTCTTTCAAAACACACTGAAAGTCAGGCTGAAGATGGCCAGGTCAATGAACGCACAGCAGCACTGCATACTGGCAGCCCAAGCAGCGGCTATAGATGACAGCTTCCCTCTATTTCCTGCAGTCTACATTCACACTCCTCCATTTCCCAGGAGACACGAGAGGAAAGGGATGCTTAGTAGTGCATAATGGGTTTGTTCATGTGTCACCCACCAATCTTCACTTTGAAAGGTCTATTTGAACCCAAGTAAGGAAAAGCCTCTCATGTTTGTTATGTTACAGCTTCAGGAGGACTGATGCTAAGAGGAGAAGTGTTTAATGCAGCCTTTCATCCATCCCCAGCTGTGGGCAAAGCTGAACACTCTAAAAAAACAGTAACTTTTATTAAGTAAGTCGCAGTGACGAAAACTCTCCAACAGAAAACATTTATTTAAAGAAAAAAAAACAACCAGGAGACAACAAGAAATACAGAAACTGAAGTGTGGGATTATAACAAAGCCAGGCCATATTACAGAGAAGAGTGGGCTAACATACAGCGAGTGTCAAGCAGAGATTTTCGTTCCCAAAGTAGACAGCAGAAAGTTTTTACCAACGTAACTCCATGTATACATGCATTATACTGTATGTGAAGAAACAGCCAGCACTGTACGTCTCAGGCAATGTAAGAAATGAACTTAAAAATGCCAAATCCCTCCCATTAGCAATGACACTCAGCAAAGGGAGACAGAGGGTGCATGGAGAAAGGGAAAGCTCTGTGAGGGACAGTAACACACAGGTTGATTTGCACACTGGAGCTGTTCATATACTTAGGACTCTCTTGCACCTTGATCTTAATGTCAGCCCATTTTCTCCAACAGAGTTCTCTCTGTTAACTTATGCTCAGTTTACACTGCCATGCATTTTCAGTCTCGCTTCCACTCTCAACAACAAATGTAAACAGACTTTTCCCAGAAAAAGGTTAACTGTACAAGAGAACAAAATATACTGAGAACCCAAGAAAGGTGTATTACATTTCCAATAAATTCTATTAATAGATTTATTACACACAAGGCAGAAGGAACAAGTTGTCAGATGGTATGTGATATCAAAAGATACAAAAGGACCAACAAAGTAGCAACTGTGCTCAACCCAGTAAAGCATAACACCACCACAGGTGGGCAAGAGGGAGAAATGGCAGTAGGAAAATCAGAATTAATGCAAACATGGCATTAACCTAATGGCAAATATAAAACACCTGACCTTCTCACCTTTATGGTAAAGATCACTTATCAGCCATTGTTTGGATAGAGCAGAAAGGTGATGGGGATCCAGGAACGCTGGAGTATTGCTATAATATTCCAGAAAGCTTACTGGGACAACAGCAAGTCCTAACCAAAGATAAAGAGATAAACATCTCTAATACTGTTTCTTCCTCACGGTTTAACCTGAATGCAGCTCAAGTGTGAAGGAGAAAGTTGATGGAGGTAAAGATGTCCCCCTCTACCTTATTATCTTTAAAAATACAAAGCAGGTGTTTAAATTTACCAAACAGGTAAGACGCTGAAGAGCACCCTTTCTCCAAGCAGATTACCAGAGCTGCCTCACTGCCACGCACTGGCAAGCTCAATCTGTTTAATTCTAAAAGAAACCATCTATAGGCATGTACAGAGAGAAGATGCTTGATGAGAGGCCTAATAAGTGATCACAAGATTTAGTAGCTTCATGTTGAAATTAAGATTATTTTTAAAGTTCTTCCACTCTTAAGCACAACTAAAAAAATGCAATGTACTTGCACCACTAAAAGACCTCCAATCAAGACTGAAACCTCCCGTCTTCTAGAGATATTCTTCAGTTTCATCACAAGTTACTGAGTCCACCTGTAAGACTCAAACACATTGGCCCAGTTTACGGAAGAGGTCAGATTAGATCATCATGATGTTTCCTTCTGGCTAAACGTATACATATACACTCAAAACATGCAACTTCCAAAGGAGATCAAGCCAGGGTTTGACTTTACATTCTTGTTTAAATGAGTGATTGCAATACCAGATACCAGTTAAAGTGTGGTTACTGACCAAGATTGAATTCAGACCAGAAATCTATTAATACTGTGTAAGTATTATGCTGAAACAACACTCCAGTTTGTATTTTAATACAACTAACTTGCTTACATTGACAAAAATCATATTCTTCCATATCTACACCAATACTACCACAAACACACAATCATACCTCTAACCTAGCAACTTGCCTCGGTCACCCTCTCATCACACACAGCATCGTAAGTTATGAGTGTTCTGCATCAACATCTGTCCAGGGCACTGCCTCCTGTCTCAGCTGCCCTAGTAACCACTTTTTGTCAGCCCAACATGCTTCAGCATGTTCTCACCTCAGCAAAAGCGGTCATTCCCTTTGTATGGCAGAATCCAAGTAAAAGATCTCGACTGTGATCTGAAATGGAAAGCAATCTGTGCAGAACTCAGTATCGCGGAGAAGTTTGCAAGCAAGATGTGGGCCAGCTCACCAAGCAGGGAACCAGACAGCTGCAAGGAAAGTGGGAACAGAATGCTGATCCAAAAGACCTCACCAGACCTCCTAATGGTAAACTGAGTATTTCTCCTGGGAAAATATAATCAGATGACATTTGGTGTACATAACCAAAAGCTTAGAGTAAGAAGCACAGTAAGAGAAGCTGATAAGTAGGTACTTCTACTACACTGTCTGATCAGTCAAACACAGTCCACCTTGAGACAAAAACACTTATTTTCTAAAACCTTTTCTTGTCCTCAGAGCTGAACATTACACTCTGTAAAAGTATAATCCTACACTAAGTAGCAGTTACTCCATTCCTTTGTCTAATAACACCAAGCTAAGCTAAGAAAAATAAATGTTATAACACTAATCAACAAAGTCTTCTCAGTCCTACTGGCTGATTCAGTACGCAGAGCTACAGAATAAACGTTACTAAAACTAGGCAGTTGTCCTGAGCCTACCCCACAAAATGGTGAAGCAGAACAAAATTTGCTAGCTGACAGAGACAGCAAATTTCAGGCAAAACTATTCACATCCATCTTCACTCTGTCACAATTACAGATCTCCAGGCAATTCCCAGTCCAGCTTCTGCACCATGGTAAGTGGAAGCCTCACTTCCCCCAAGTGCATCAAAGCTAACAGACCTACTTTATTGGGCAATTACCTGCTAGCTTTGATCCTGCTTTCAAAGTCCCAAAGCAAATGCAGCTGGCTTGTTCATAAGATGGTTCTCACACAAGGAGATTCCCAATAAACCAGAGTATTTTTTCATGCAAACTGATTGGAGAGCGACACACAGTTATCAATTACATACACACAGGAAAATGCCTGTCCAGTTTGTCCAATGCTTCCAAGTAAGTACAGAAGCACAGGTGGGAGTAGTATATATCTTAACAAAAACTGCTGTGAGAATTTCCAAGAATAGGCAATTAATGCTAGGTAAAAAGACATTCATAGTGTGTACTTCTACAATTTCCCACTTAAAGACCTGGAAAACAGAAGGACCATAAAACCAGCCCCATACGAAGGTAAAAATAGCTAGCCATTGTCATTGCTCAGCAAAATTGTTTAACAAAAGGAAAAAACTTCATTCTCTGACCAACACCATCTACTCCAAACTTTAAGCATGCTATCAGGTGCTTCTACCAAGATGAGTCACAAACAAAACATTCAAAACCACAGATGTGATGCTGCAATGCCAGGGAACTTCTTGAGAGACCTGCACTGCACCTGACACCACGCGGTGCACACAGCAACCTAAAAAGTGTCTCATGCTTTATCTGACACCTTCATCAATCACAGAACCAAGACGGTAAACAGTGGCAGGAACAGACACCCTGAACAGTGTCACAAAATTTTTCTCCATGATTTCCTCTGCTGGCTGTCAATGCAATGGAAGTTATACTGCAACACAAGGTCCCAGTGTGTAAGCAGGACAGTTTGTGGCAATAAACAGAAACTTGCTGCCCTTTGAAGAAAGCAAAGGGGTATCATAACAGAATGATTTGGTCTTAGATAACTACTAATTCTGTGATGAGGAAAAATATATTATATGGGTGTGCAATCAGTGCCTATAAACTTGTGGAAAGGTCTGTCTCAAGTTGTTGCTAGA